AGGCACATGACCCTGCACCTGGCTTTCCTCATTTTTTTTTTTTTTTTTTTTTTTTTTTGAGACGGAGTCTCACTCTGTCGCCCAGGCTGGAGTGCAGTGGCCGGATCTCAGCTCACTGCAAGCTCCGCCTCCCGCGTTTACGCCATTCTCCTGCCTCAGCCTCCCGAGTAGCTGGGACTACAGGCACCCGCCACCTCGCCCGGCTAGTTTTTTGTATTTTTAGTAGAGACGGGGTTTCACCGTGTTAGCCAAGATGGTCTCGATCTCCTGACCTCGTGATCCGCCCGTCTCGGCCTCCCAAAGTGCTGGGATTACAGGGTTGAGCCACCGCGCCCGGCCGGCTTTCCTCATTTTTAAACAGGGAATGAGGCCAGTCTCAGTGGCTCATGCCTGTAATCCCAGCACCTGGGAGACCGAGGCGAGCAGATTGCTTGAGGCCAGGAGTTCCAGACCGGCCTGGCCAACATGGTGAAACCCTGTCTCTGCTAAAAATACAAAAAATTAGCCAGGTGTGGTGGCGCATGCCTGTATTCCAGCTACTTGGGAGGCTGAGGCATGGGAATCGCTTGAACCCAGGAGGCAGAGGCTGCAGTGAGCTGAGATGGCGCCACTGCACTCCAGCCTGGGTGATAGAGTGGGGCTCTGTCTCAAAAAATAAAAGTAAAAAAATAAAAAAAATTGGCCAGGCACAGCGGCTCACGCCTGTAATCCTAGCACTTTGGGAGGCCGAGGCGGATGGATCACGAGGTCAGGAGATTGAGACCATTCTGACCAACATTAAAAATGCAAAAATTAGCCGTATGTGGTGGCACGCACCTTAGTCCTCGGGAGACTGAGGCAGGAGAATCTCTTGAACCTGGGAGGCAGAGGTTGCAGTGAGCCAAGATTGCGCCACTGCACTCCAGCCTGGTGACAGAGCAAGACGCCTTCTCAAAAAAAAAAAAAAAAAAAAAAAAAAATCAACAGATTAACAGGGAAGTTGGGGCATGGTGGCTCACACCTGTCATCCCAGCACTTTGGGAGGCCAAGGCGAGTGGATCACTTGAGGTCAGGAGTTCGAGACCAGCCTGGCCAACATGGTGAAACTCCATCTGCCAAAAATACAAAAATTAGCCAGACGTGGTGGTACATGCCTGTAATCCCAGCTACTGAGGAGGTAGAGGTTGCAGTGAGCCAAGATTGTGCCACTGCACTCCAGCCTGGGTGATAGAACGAGACTCTCTCTCAAAATAAAAATAAAAATAAGCAGGGAATCAGTGGGCTGATATTTATGAGGCCCTTAGCAGATGCCTGCCACATAGTAAGCACTCAGGATATGTGAGACCTTTTCATCATTGTCTGCATCTGCAAGCCAAGATGGGCAGGGTGGCGAGAGATGGGCTGCTGATGGGGAGGAGGAAAGCTACTGTGCCATGAGGGCTGTGTATCAGGTGCTGTGCCGCCTCTACGTGTTGTCCTTCTGAGTTCTGAATGTCTTTGGGAAGAAAGAAATGGCTCTTGGGGAGGGGGTGGGTGGGTAGAAGGCAAGGGGGCCACACTCATCAGTTTTATTTTTATTTATTTATTTATTTATTTATTTATTTATTTATTTTTTTTTTTGAGACGGAGTCTCGCTCTGTCGCCCAGGCTGGAGTGCAGTGGCCGGATCTCAGCTCACTGCAAGCTCCGCCTCCCGGGTTTACGCCATTCTCCTGCCTCAGCCTCCCGAGTAGCTGGGACTACAGGCACCCGCCACCTCGCCCGGCTAGTTTTTTGTATTTTTTTTTTTTTTTTTTTAGCAGAGGCGGGGTTTCACCGAGTTAGCCAGGATGGTCTCGAGCTCCTGACCTCGTGATCCGCCCGTCTCGGCCTCCCAAAGTGCTGGGATTACAGGCTTGAGCCACCGCGCCCGGCCCAGTTTTATTTTTTTTTGAGACAGAGTCTCACTCTGTTGCCAGGCTGGAGTGCAATGGCACAATCTCAGCTCACTGCAACCTCCACTTCCTGGGTTCAAGCGACTCTTGTGCCTCGGCCTCCTGAGTAGCTACGATTATAGGCAGCCACCACCACCACTCCCAGCTAATTTTTGTATTTTTAGTAGATATGGGGTTTCAGCACGTTGGTCAGGCTGATCTTGAACTCCTGGCCTCAGGTGATCTGCCTGCCTTATCCTCCCAAAGTGTGGGATTACAGACATGAACCACTGCGCCCGGCCTCGCTCATCAGTTTTGAAGATGAGGGATGGAAGTGATGAAGGCCTGGAGGGGGCAATGTTGCCCTAATGCATCTCTCTCCAAAGACACTTTACTGAAAGTGGCTGTTATTAAACCCCTCTGATGTGCCACTTACTGTGAGTAGTAAAACGATGGACACTGAGAGTTGGGATTGGAAATGAAATGAAACTATCTTCACACTTGATAAATAGGGTGCTCTTCTGCCCTGCCACTCTTCCCTGCTTTTTGAGCACAGGAGAAATCTACTGGTAAGAGCTCAGGCTCAAGAGGTACACTGGCTGCCACCTGCCACTCCCAACTGGGTGACTGTGAATACATCTCTTACTACTCCAGGCCTCAGCCTCCTCATTTGCAAATTGGGAATGATAATAAGACCCAGCTGCCAGTGTTGTCCTAAGGAATAAGTGAAATACTTCATAAACAGCTCTTAACACAGTGCCTGGCCCAAAGAAAATACACACACCAAGTTGAGTGTGATTATTTTTATTGCTGTATCATCCAGCCACTTCCTGTTTCACAGACATGTCAAGGTGATTCACATTGCAGTGAAAAACAAAACAAAACAAAAAGAATAGCTGACCCCTTTTCAGTGCCTGTGTGAATATACAAATGATGTGAGTTATGTTTTTCAGAGGCACAGCAATGTGGCATAGGCAACTTGTTGCCATGTAAACCATCCCCACGAAATCAGCCAGCCCAGGGAGAGCTATAATTGAGCTGTGTGTGACTGAGCTGCCGTGGCGTGCACTATCACCCAGAAAAGAGCCTAACTACAGCCATGTCATCAGTGCCACAAGGAGGGACCAATTTGGACTGGCTCACATGAAGGTGTGATTCCCTTCCCCCTTCCCGTCCCCTCCCGCTCCTCCTTTCCCTCCTTTCCCTCCCCTGACTGCATGCTCTGTTGCCCAGGCTGGAGTGCAGTGGCAGGATCTCCACTCACTGCAACCTCCGCCTCCTGGTTCAAGCGATTCTCCTGTCTCAGCCTCACAAGTAGCTGGAACTACAGGCTCGCACCACCATGCCCAGCTAGTTTTTGTATTTTTAGTAGAGACGGGGTTTCACCACGTTGGCCAGGCTGGTCTCAAACTCCTGACCTCAAGTGATCTGCCCATCTTGACCTCCCAAAGTGCTGGGATTACAGTTGTGAGCCACCATGCCTGGCCGAAGGTGTGGTACATTCTGTTGGCAAGGGAAGGGTGTGAAAGAGTCCAAGCCCACTGTTCCATAGACACTGGCCTGTCCACTGCGACTGCTGCGAATAGGTTTTACCACCAACACCTGTAAGCACCTTCTATGTCAAAGACTATGAAGCATCTGAGATCTTATCCAATTTGCAAGCTGCCAAGGTAGCCCGTCAGGTTCAAGGATGCTGGCAAAATACAAGAGAGTCCTGGGTCAGAGACAAAGGACTTCATCACTGTGCAGCAAACAGCATGAGCACCAGCACATTTCCGTCAGTTCCTTTTCACCCTAAGTCCCATGGAGGTGATGCTCATGGGCTCAGGTTAGTGCGGACACACAGAGTGAACTGCATTGTGGGAAAGGACCCTAAGCTTAGGAAACTCAAAGCCAGTAAGCATGGCTGTCCTTTGCTCTGGAGGGAGACACCAACTCCATCTTCCATGGCTGTTCCCTGGATAAACATCTTTGAAGCTGGGCGCAGTGGCTCACGCCTGTAATCCTACCACTTTGGGAGGCTGAGGTGGGCAGATCACCTGAAGTCGGGAGCTTGAGATCAGTCTGGCCAACATGGTGAAATCCCGTCTCTGCTACTGCTACGGCTACTGCTACTAAATTAAAAAATTGGCCGGGCACAGTGGCTCACGCCTGTAATCCCAACACTTTGGGAGGCCAAGACGGGCAGCTCATGAGGTCAGGAGATCGAGACCATCCTGGCTAACACGGTAAAATCCTGTCTCTACTAAAAATGCAAAAAACAAATTAGCTGGACGGCCAGGTGTGGTGGCTCACGCCTGTAATCCCAGCACTTTGGGAGGCTGAGGAGGGTGGATCACAAGGTCAGGAGATCGAGACCATTCTGGCTAACACAGTGAAACCTTGTCTCTACTAAAAATACAAAAAATTAGCCAGGCATGGTGGCAGGTGCCTGTAGTCACAGCTACTTGGGAGGTTGAGGCAGGAGAATGTTGTGAACCCGGGAGGTGGAGCTTGCAGTGAGTCAAGATTACACCACTGCACTCCAGCCTGGATGACAGAGTGAGACTCCATTTCAAAAAGAAAGAAAGAAAAAAAAAAAGTAGCCAGGTGTGGTGGTGCATGCCTGTAATCCCACTCAGGTGGGTGAGGCACAAGAAATCGCTTAAACCTGGAGGGTAGAGGTGACAGTGAGCCAAGATCACACCACTTGGTTGGGTGACAGAGCAAGACTCCATCTCAAAAAACAAACAAGCACCAAACAGGCATAAGTGGCCCCATTTTTGTTTTGAGTCAGGGTCTTGCTCTATCACCCAAGTTGCAGTGCAGAAGCCAGATCATGGCTTACTGCAGTCTGGATCTCCTGGGCTGGGAGCAATCCTCCCACTCAGCCTCCTGAGTAGCTGGGACTACAAGTGCATGCCACTGCACCCGCTAATTAAAAAAATATATATATATTTTTTAGAGATGGGGTCTTACTATGCTGTCCAGGCTGGTCTCAAGCAATCCTCTTACATGTCCTCCCAGAATGCTGGGATTATAGGCATGAGCCACCGCACCTGGTCTACTGTCCCTGTTTTACAGATGAGAAATTGAAGTCCAGAGTGATTAAGTAAATTACTCCAGGTGATATAGTAAATAGCAGATCCAGGATCAAACCCAGTCCTGCCTCATTCCAGTTCTGTGTCTTGTCTACCCTACAGTGGAACTTAAGATGGTGAGGGGCCCTGAGAGGAGAAAAGTGACAAGAATCTTCTTGAGCAGTGAGAGAAGAGGGATGCAGGGAGGATGGGAGATGTGTGTGCATCTCTGTATGTGTTGTCTGGATGTGGGGGGCCAAGGCCAGATTTGTAGGACCCTGGAGACCATAACAAGGACTTTGGATTTTGTCTAAGTATGATGGGGAGATGCCAGATTTTTTAAAAATTTTTTTGAGACAGAGTCTCACTCTGTTGCCCAGGCTGGAGTGTAGTCGTGTGCTCTCGGCTCACTTCTGCCTCCCGGTTCAAGCAATTCTCCTGCCTCAGCCTCCCAAGTAGCTGGGATTACAGGTGCCTGCCACCACACCTGGCTAATTTTTGTATTTTTAGTAGAGACAGGGTTTCACTATGTTGGCCAGGCTGGTCTCGAACTCCTGAACTCAAGTGATCTGCCTGCCTCGGCCTCCAAAGTGCTGGGGTTACAGGCGTGAGCCACCATTCCCAGCCACCAGATGGTTTTTAGTACAAGAATGACACTGTATTTTAAAAGAATTATTCAGTTTCCTGCTTATATGGGGATAATACCCCATATAAGGTTATCATGAGGAGTAAATTGGAGAGATTAAGTGAGAGGACTCATATAAGGGTCTTTGTAGGTGCGAGGCAGAATAGACAGTTGAGTGGATATCGGCCATAATGGTAACATAGTCGGCGCACTGAGGAATTCAGGGTAGGGCTGGGAGCTGGAGACAGTAATAACCTGGGGGTCTGTGCGTCCAAGAGATGGTATAGAGATAGTTCCACTAGTCAGCCTAAGTCTGGGTGCACTTCACTGTAATCCCAGCACTTTGGGAGGCTGAGGTGGGAGGATCAGTTGAGTCCAGGAGTTGGAGACCAGCGAAACCCAATCGCTACAAAAAATACAAACAAAACAAAACACAAAAAACGGTGGCTCTAGTGCCTGATATAAACGACTTGGGGTACAGGCCCTAAGTCAGGTACGCTGCTGCCCAAGAGCCTGACTGGTAGATGGAGATGCGAAAGGGGCACAGGGCTCTCTAGGTAAGCAGGAGGCAGCAAGAATGACAGTTCCAGGGGTTTTACGTGGAAGGAAGAGGAGGCCAGGAGGAGGGGACTTCAGGTCAGATTGAGGAGGCATGTGCCATCCGGAGGAGGAGACTGTCGATGTAATTATGAAAGTCCAAGTCCTGGCTGCTTTTCCACTGCCCTGGTGTACAACCTCAGGCCCTGCAGACTGCACATCTGAGGACCCCTGCCTGCCCTGTCTGGCTTCTCTGAATCTAATAAGGGAGAGGATGCATATGGAAAAAGAACACGGAACAGAGAGAGAGAGAGAAAAAAAAAGCACCAAGGTCCAAGTTCAGAGAGCCCTGGTAATTTTAACTTGCAACTCACCTAAGAAGAGCCTAACGGTCGCAAGAGTATGTAGGAAGGCCCCAACCCGACCCTGCCCAGTACATAGCACCCAAGGGCGGCTGGAAGCGCAATGCGCGTGCCGAGTACAGCGCTATTCAGTCCGCAGGCTTTTTGAGGATTTCAATTTCAAAGAAGGGTCGGTTTCGGGGCCGACTTTGCTTCAGTCCCAGGCCTCGGGAGGCAGCGGGGAGACAGACTGGGACACCAAGCATGCAGAAGGGGAGGGGTCTTGAAATAGACGGAATGCGAGAAGGCTCCCCTCCTGGCCAGCCTTGCTGGGCGAAGTGAGAAGCACTGAGGCCTGAGGAGGCTCCACGAATGCGCAAAGGGCCGCTCGCTGTGATTACTCGGGTGGCGATGGTCGTGATGATGCCGCTGCCCCGCCTGCGCCGAAAGGGAAACCCCAGGGGAGGCGGAGGCCAGCGGGGATTTCTCAAGCCAGGTGGTCCCCTTCATCCACGACGGACAGGAAGGGCGACCTCCCGAGGCCACTTTCAGGTCTTGCGACCGGAGCAGAGCTACCACGGAGACGCTCCTCCCGAGGCCTCACGCGTCGGAAGGTTCTGTCCCCTGGATTCCGGCTGACTGACGCGTCCCCAGGGCAGGTTCTCGGTAGCAGCCGACACGCCCCACTCCGGGCACAGCGAGATCTGAGGACCACGCTGAGGCGTCATTTCCGCCCTGATTCGCGGCCGCTATAGAAGGGGCGGAGCCGTAGCGGAGGGCGCGCCGCTTGGACGTCATTTCCGGTGAGCCCGGCAGCGACAACGGCAACATGGCCCTGAACGGAGCCGGTGAGGACTTGGGTGGCAGGGGCTTGTGGCTGTGAGGTACGGGAGGCAGCCCGCTCCGGCAAGACCCCCAGTCCCTATGCTTCTCTTCCCCAGAAGTCGACGACTTCTCCTGGGAGCCCCCGACTGAGGCAGAGACGAAGGTGCTGCAGGCGCGACGGGAGCGGCAAGATCGCATCTCCCGGCTCATGGGCGACTATCTACTGCGCGGTTACCGCATGCTGGGCGAGACGTGCGCGGACTGCGGGGTGAGGCGAGACTCGGGCGAGTGAGCAGGGATGGGTCTGCGGGTCAGGCCACTCAGCTCTTCCTCAGTCCTCCCCTCTGGACCCCATCGCTGGCGTCTCATTCCGGCCCCATGTGCTTTTTGGTCCGTAGACGATTCTCCTCCAAGACAAACAGCGGAAAATCTACTGCGTGGCTTGTCAGGAACTCGACTCAGACGTGGATAAAGATAATCCCGGTGAGGGTAAAAAATAATCCGGGAGAGGGGCCGGATGTGCTTAGGGGGGAAGCGTGGTAAGTGGTGATAGAGGGCCGAGAACAGTAGGCCTGGGGGGCGACAGTGGAGTCTCTGGGTGGGGCAGAGGTAAAATGGTTTCTCCGTTAGGCTCTAAAGAGGACCATTAACTCAGTAAGAGAACTAAGCACCTCCTGTGTGCCAGCCACTGCGCGAGAGTCTGAGCTTAATCAGGCCCAGTACTGATGGAGAGTTGAAGCTAAGGCATAAATGTGATACAAAGTAGAAAGTGGATGAAGTGCCTTATAGAGGGACAGGGAAAACACCTCAAGCACAGAAAGAGCAGAGCAGGAAAGGAGATGGCTCACGGCTGAGGTGGGCCAGGCATCCTGACCATTCTACCCACTTTCTCCTCTTTTTAGCTCTGAATGCCCAGGCTGCCCTCTCCCAAGCTCGGGAGCACCAGCTGGCCTCTACCTCAGAGCTCCCCTTGGGCTCTCGACCTGTGCCGCAGCCCCCAGTACCTCGTCCGGAGCACTGTGAGGGAGCTGCAGCAGGACTCAAGGCAGCCCAGGGGCCACCCACTCCTGCTGTGCCTCCAAATACAGATGCCATGGCCTGCACAGAGACAGCCCTCTTGCAGAAGCTGACCTGGGCCTCTGCTGAACTGGGCTCTAGCACCTCCCTGGAGACTAGCATCCAGCTGTGTGGCCTTATCCGCGCATGTGCGGAGGCCCTGCGCAGCCTGCAGCAGCTGCAGCACTAAGAGAAGCCCCTGAGAAAAACCCTCTAGAAAAACAGCTGTTCCTCTGTGTGGTTTGTTCTTTTCCTGGTTCCGAGTGTGCATGCCAGCCCCAGCTCCACTCACGTTTTTCCTACTTTTGGCCTCTCACCTCTCCACTCTCTGCTCTCCCTGACGCCCTGAGATGAGTTGAACTTGTTTCTGCTCAGTTTCTCGTCAGGATGCGGGAGTAGGTAGAGGACTATGTGATGCACCTTTTCTAAGGAAGAGGTGATAGCCTTTTCAAAGGTAGCAGCCAGAGGGGTGGACCCTAGCCTTGTGTCTGGCAGCACATCTGCAGTTTCTCCGCCATGCGGTGCCCATTCCCCACCTGGAAGTGAGATTTTGGGTTCCAATCCCCTTGATAGATTCCGCTCCTTTCCCTGAGCATCCTGACCCTATCAGCCTATTCCATCTCATGGCCACCCCAGGTACTCAGCGACAGGAGTTTGTGGTGACCTCAGCGTCAGGTGGCACGTTAGGCACCAACTGTGGACTTGCCAGTCTCCTGATTCCACTGTTAGGATCATTTTCCTTGGGAGGGTAATGGGCAGAACACAGTGTGTGGGGGCGGGGCGCGGCGGGCAGACGGGGTAGCGAAAAGAACCGCGAAGAAACCACGCCTGCCCCCTTCGGCCTTTTCCCCCCTCCGCCGCATTTTTCCATCTCCCCTTGAGTGAGTGGGTGCCCCGCTGTCTTTTTCTCAGCTTTACGCGACGTGGTCCCACAGCCGTTGCCTTTTTAAGAGAGGCCCGGCCCATGCGGAGGGGGTGGGGCAGAGGCGGAGTCTGAGGAGCTGGGGAAGGAACAAAGCGCGGCCTGCGGGCGGCGGCTGGGCTCCGGCGGGGCCGCGGGGTGCGGGGCCTGCGGGCAGCGTCCTGGGCGGAGTGTTGGGGAGAAGGAGGTGGCATCGCCGTCGGTGGCCATGAACGGGCTGCCCTCGGCAGAGGCGCCGGGCGGGGCAAGCTGCGCCTTGGCCGGGCTCCCACCGCTGCCGCGCGGCCTCAGCGGCCTCCTTAATGCGAGCGGGGGCTCGTGGCGGGAGCTGGAGCGCGTCTACAGCCAGCGCAGCCGCATCCACGACGAGCTGAGCCGCGCCGCCCGCGCACCGGACGGGCCCCGCCACGCCGCCGGCGCCGCCAACGCGGGACCCGCAGTCGGCCCGCGTCGTCCTGTCAACCTCGACTCGGCGCTGGCCGCGCTGCGCAAGGAGATGGTAAGTGGGTGGGTGCCGGGCCAGCTGGGCGGGGGGCTGATGCGGAACGCAGGGGACTGGGACAGGCGGCCTGGGTCTCAGGACTTGCAGGCACCAGTTGGGTTCCAAGGGTTATGGTAACAATAATTAGTGATAGTTAAAAATTATGGCAGTAGTTACCATATATTTTCAAATGATCTGCTGATGTTACTTCATTTCATCCTGCTAAATGGATAATAACCCCATTTTTTGGGTCGTGACTAAAGTTGCACTGCCAAACAAAAAAAAAACTTTGTTTAGGAAGGTGCGGGGAAGATGGGCTGGGGCCCACTGTTCCAGGGGGCAGGAGCTGGGCTGGGGTGGCCTAGACCCCAACTCCAGCCCACCCTCAGTTGTCTGCAGGTGGGGCTGCGGCAGTTGGACATGTCCCTGTTGTGCCAGCTGTGGGGCCTGTATGAGTCAATCCAGGACTACAAACACCTGTGTCAAGACCTGAGCTTCTGTCAGGACCTGTCATCCTCCCTCCATTCGGACAGCTCCTACCCACCGGATGCGGGCCTGTCTGACGATGAGGAGCCTCCCGATGCCAGCCTGCCTCCTGACCCGCCACCCCTCACTGTGCCCCAGACGCACAATGCCCGTGACCAGTGGCTGCAGGATGCCTTCCACATCAGCCTCTGAAGAGCTGGGGGGCAGGGGGCACGCACCCATGCAAAAGGCTCAGAAACTCCCCCTCTGGCAAGCCCTCAGACTGCGGAGCCTGCGCCTTCCCCCATACCACCTCACCTCACAGGAGGGCCAGGCATGTATTCCTCAGAGGCGAAACTGCCAAACCCTTTCTCTTGTCTTGGGTTGACTGGCACTGGGGCGGGTACCTAGGGTACAGCCTCTGCCCATGGTACTGGGCCTCCACTTCTTCCACATGTGTGCACCCCCAGCTTGGCCAACCCTCAGCCTTGCAGTGGGGCCCGAAGAAGCATCTTCCCCTCCCATTGGCATCTCTGGGATTGGGATGAGTGCCTCGCTCCCATCTCCTCCTCACCTTTTGTTGCTATCGGCAGCTGCTGGCTCAGGGGCATCCCACCTCCGGGCTCTGGGTTCCTCTGCCCTGGAAGGGCTCCAGGACCCGTCCCAATACCCACCCATGGCCAGGAGGGCCAAGGCCCCGTGCTGGATATTTAAATTTAGGGGCCGGCCTCCAGGGCGCGTAGATAAATAAATACTCTCAGCGTCGTTGTACTCTGCCTGGCTGGCTCTGGGGCGGGAAGACCGCGGCGTTCTGGCAGGTGCGTCCCCGCGCTCTGCCGGCGGGTGGCGCCCGAAACCCCCGAGTGAGAAGGTCCTGCCGTCCCGCCCGGGCGGGGCTGGGGGCGCTCCCGGCTAGCCGAGCTTGGCTGCGGTCGGTCGAGTCACTTCCCCTCTCTCGCCCGCGACCTCCGAGTCCTCCTCCCAGTTCGCTTCGGGCTTTCCCTGCCGGCCGGGAAGGAAGGAGAAGGAGCCGCCCACCTTGAGGAGGGAAACTTTCCACCCCGCGCGGGGCGGGGTTGGGGCGGCGCAGGAAATGGGTGGCCGGAGTCGGCTGAGCAAGGGGCCCCGGCGGGGGCGGGGGAGGCGCCTCCTGGAACGGTTTGGGAGCTCACAACCCGCGGGTGGGAGGGAGGGGCGGCAGAGGCAGAGCGGTGTGAAGTCGCGGCACCTCGGGCTTTCCCAGAGGCCAGGCGTGAGAATCCGCGGCGATGAAGGTTGATGGGGTCCCAGGGACCCGTATTCCCCGCTTAGTCTATGAAGAAACGCCGGCTCTCCCCACAGCACTAGCGGTCTTTACAGTTATCTGTTAAAGGTTTCTTCTCAGGAAACCGGGGACCCACACCGCTGGGACTGGGAACCAAACCCAGGTGTCAAGCCCACCGGAAGAAGTCAGCACGTTCGGAGACAGTGGGTACTCAGCCCCGCACACGCGCACACGACACCCCACAACCTCCTGAAAAGAGGCGAAGCCGCACACCGAGGAGTGTGGTGCCTCCTGGAGATGCAGCCCAGCTGGCAGTCCTGACACTCTGACATCCCGTTAAACCAAGTAGCTGTCACGCACCGGGCTCCTGTTCATTCACACACCTTGCAGAGCAGTGGGAGGGAGCAAACTGACCTGTTGCCCCAGGGCAGCTGACACCTGCATAGGCTCATTACCATGCAGGGCGGGTGGGTAAGCGATAAAGGCTCTAATCTAGGGGTTCACAGAGCCGCTAACGCCCCAGGCAGGCTTTCGTGGGGAGGGAGAGTAAACACACACAGAAATGACAAGTTTTCCCCATCCATGATAGCGCATCCCATTTAGTAAGGTACAGCAAAATCAGCCAGGCTTTCTGCTAAATGCTTTCTGAGGTTCGTGCTCTCAGTGATTCCGTAAAAGGCGGAACTATAATTATCCCCATTTAATAGACATTGAAACTGAGGCTCAGAGTGTTAGCGCTTTGCCCAAGGTCACACTTGGTTGGAAGTCAGTTGTGAATCTGCAGCTACTTGTCGGGGTTTGGGATTATCTTCCCACTCGACAGCAGTCAGGTTCTGAGGTTGGGCCCCCGAGGTTAGTCCTGACTCGACGCCTTCCTGCTCTGGTTAAGACGTGGGTGGCTGCACCATGGAGTAGAGGAGAGCTGGTCCTCGCCCAGATTCACAGTATGACTGAGCAAGTCCCTTCCCCTTTCTGGGTCTCAGTTTTCCCAGCCCGTGAAAGGGGGCCAGCAGTACATACCTCCCAGGGCTGCGGACAGGAAGGGAGGTGGCCCGGGTAGCGCTCTCTAGGGTGGCACGAAGTTGCTGGTTGCCCTCTCTCGGGGTCCACGCAGCCTCTGCGCGCCCCGAGGGGGCACTGTGGTCGGGTGACACCCCCTCCAAGTCCCCCCCCCCGCCCCCGCTCCTGCTCTCTCTCCCGGGTCGCTGCGCGAGGCCCCGGAAGCCGGGTCGCCCCGCCCCCCGCGCTCCTGCCCCGGCCCCCGCCCCGCGCCGGAGCCCCGCCCGCCTTCCGACGGGGGTGCGGCTCCAGGAAACGGCGCGCTCCCAGCTCCGCGCTTGGCCACCCGACGCGCCCCAGACGACCCGCCGATTCAGCCAGACCACCCGGTGGGCCCCAGCGGCGGCAGCGGAGAGTGCGGTCCCGGGTCGGAGTCTGGGACACCTCCGCACGGACGGGGTGGGCGGCGTGGACAGGCCATGGGGACCCGGGCCGGGCCAGCAGTGGCGGGCCAGCGGGAGCCCCGGGCCTGAGAAGTGGGCGGCGGGGCGGCGGGGGCCATGACCTCGGTGTGGAAGCGCCTGCAGCGCGTGGGCAAGCGGGCGGCCAAGTTCCAGTTCGTGGCCTGTTACCACGAGCTGGTGTTGGAGTGCACCAAGAAATGGTGAGTGGGAGGGAGGCCGGGGGTCTCCTCCGAACTGGGACTTCATCCAGCCCTTTGAGCCTGAGAGGATTCTGCCCCCCAGCCCAATGACCAAATGGGCCCCCACCCCAGCTTGGGCCCTATTTCTGTTCCCAGGCTTGGAGATTCAGAAGTGCCCTTGCAATTTGTGGGACCCCTGGCGTTGGGGGTGTGGGCAGCCTTCCCTGCGCGGGGGTCAGGACTTTCAGGCCTGAGGTTCTGCCTGTGTCCACTCCTTCCTCAGCTGCGGTCAGGGTTGGGGGAGGGAGGCCGCGTGTCTTGTGCCAGAAAGGTGATTCAGGGTGGCATTAGAAAAGGGATGAAGTTTTGAGGTCTGCAGGTGGCTAGGGCTGGGGCAGGAACCTCCCTGGCCTTACTTAGTCCAGCTAAGAACAGAGATGTTGCCCCCTCCTCCCCTGTCATCTTGTTGAGCCAGAAGAACCCCTCCAACTCCCGCCTCTTCAGCTAGAGTGCTGGGAGGCTGGAAACATCTCCACAATGTCCTTAAAAGGGGAAACTGAGTGCTGGGAGGAATGAGGAGGGAGGCGGGGAGCAGCTTAAAGGGGCCTGAGGACCTAGGAGGTTGTGTGTCCGGGATGAGAGGGTTGTGGAGGGCAAGGTGGAAGGGTGAGGGGTGATTCACGAGAGGGTGCAGGCCCCAGCCCGGACTACCAGCAGGCTCAGGGGCATTTCGTTCACATGCCGCCACCCATAGCTGCCCAGGCCCCTGCGTCACACCCTAAATATACGTGCTTGCTGGTGTCAGCTTCCCTTGGCTGGATTAGGGCACAGCTGTGGGGGCCTCACCCCCCAGACGGGGCTAAATTTAGGCTCCCCAGGGGAAGAACTGGGGCAGGAAGGGACCATAGGGTCCAGGGGGAGGGGAGTGAGCAGGAGGCTGGGGTCCCTTGGGCAGCTGCCATATCCCTGGCCTTGCCCACACTGGGCCTGCTAGAGGGCTATTCACATCTTTCAGCAGAGCCCGGGAGAACCTGGGGGCTGGCACTTGAACTCTGGCCTCTGGCTCCTGCTCCAGCATCCTGCGGGAGGCCAGGGAAACACTGGGCACAGCAGGCTGAGGGTGCCTGCAGTGTCAACGCAGCTGAGTCACAGGCGGCTGTGGGTAGGGCCTCCTGGGCTGCTTAGCCTGGAGCCCAGGCCGGGAAGCTGCCCCTGCCCAGGTTGCAGCTTCCCAGGAGGGCGTGAGCAGCCTGAGTCAGGCTGCCCAGCCAAGCCCCGCCCTCCCTAGGCACCCCCTGTCCGCTTCCCCTTTCTGGGAAGGCCCCTTAGTTACCCTTGCTCTGCCATCGCCAGCAATCTGGGCTTGGGGAAGGGAACTTGGCTCTGGGCTGGAGGGCTCTAGGCTCAACCGTGTAACCTTGTTTGGCTCCAAACCTGTCTGGGCCTCAGCATCCTCAGGGTTAACAGAGAGCCAGTTATCCTGGCTTGGCCCCTAGAGGAACAATGAGCTGGGCAAACCCAAGCGTCTGGCATGGGGCTGGGTACAGGCAAGGCAAGATTGTGTGCTGCCCTCGGCCGGATTGTCCCCTCAAGCATCACCCCTCCTGGGCAGCAGTTGAACATCTAACCCAAAGGGGCCTTCTGCCCCCAGGCCCAGCCATGAGTACACTCAGTGCCTGAGAATGGGCCCTGCGCAGCCATCTCTGTCCTCTTGCTTTGCCTCTGCCTCTCCTCTGACCTGGCATATATGCTGTTCAGTTTAGATGTCACCCCTGGAAGTCTTCCCTGATTGCCCCCCAGGCTCCACTGTCAACATCTCGCTGAAAACTGATCCTCCTTGGGACCCCTGGGCCCAGCAAAGGGCTGGACATGGTGGGCAAGGGATGGCAGTGTTGGTTAATGACAAGCTGACCCTCTACTGCCTCTCTGGCCTCACCCCCAACTCTCTGCCCCTCTCTCTGACGTCACCCTCCAGCCGCAGACCCTTGGACTTGCCATTCCCTCTTTCTCCAGATCCTCACACAGCCCATCCCCCTGCCACTCATGTCTCTGCTCAGACACCCAACCTCAAGGAGACCCCCAAGGGGTTCCCTCACATCACCCTGAAGTTCGCTTGTTAATTTATTTTCTTTCTTGACTGGTAGTCTGCCCCCACCTCCATTGTCCTCATCGGAAAGGTCTTGCCCCTCTTTTGCCCGCCTCTGTCCCCAAAACTGGGCTGGGTTTATGGTGGGCGCTCCACAAACATCTTTGCGAGAAGGGACTTCTTTTATCCCTCGTCTTTGTCTCTCCCTGTGTCGGAGTCTGCGTGTGTACACAATGCTCAAGTGCGCATCTGTGTCTGGCATCTCTTGCCAGGTCCTTGTGTTTCTGTGTGTCTTGGTCTCTGAATGTGCCTGTCCCTGTCTCTCTTGCTGTCTTTCCTCATAGTCCCTGCCTGCCCACACTGTCTGGGCCTTTGCCCTTCTGCTGTGGCCCCACCCTGCCTTAGCAGCTCCACCCTGCACCCTGTGGCCCCAGATAAAGGGCTGCCCAGGCCCTCTCCTGGAGGAGGGAGAGGTGGGCAGAAGGAAGACCCTGAGGGAGCTGGGGGAGGAGGAGAAAGAGGAGATGGGGAGGCAGGTGAGCCTGACCAGGCAGCCCACTCTCTTTCCCCCTCTCCCTCCCCCTCCCCCAGGCAGCCAGATAAGCTGGTGGTAGTGTGGACCCGGCGGAACCGACGCATCTGCTCCAAGGTGGGGAAGGATGGCAACTGGTGATCCAGGTTAGGGATGGGGGCCAGTGGGAAGCTGATGGGGGCTGATGGGGGAGTGGAGTCAGGTTCAAGTTCAGATCAGAATCCACAGAGGAGAGAGGAAGATGGTG